TGATACTAACTCGCCTTGAATTGAATTATGTATTCAAGGTGTATGATCACACGTTTTTGGATGAGTTCTTGACGTTTAGAAGTACCTTGGAGTGTTGGAAACAACTAGGAAACATAGGTACAATACCTAGGAACAAGCATGAGAAAGTGTGAAAAGGATGGGGGAACTTGGCGTCCTTGGCGCTCTGCAAGGCGCGGAGCACCAGCCCTTGAAGCTCAGAGGGGACCTGCTAGGCGCGGCGCCCCAAGGGAGAGAGCTCAGAAGCTCTTTTGGGGCGCGCTGGCAGGCGCGACACGCCACCCCTTTCCCCAGAAAAACTCGACTTTTCTCCCTCTTTTTCCAACTCTAAACCACCCTAAATTCAAGGGTTTCAACTCCAAACACTAAAGATAATAAAATCCCTCAACATACAAGAGATTCAACTCAAAAACACAATCAAATCATGTACTAAACCAACAAGAACTTCCAACAACACAACCAACAACTTCAACAACACAAACCAACAATTTCAACAACCTAACCAAGCTTTTCTCGGAAATAAAACGAGTTGGGCGTGTGGGGGAAAGGATCAACCCAACACTAAGAACTCACATACCTAGTGGGGATCACCCCCGATGATATCCACGACGGAAACTTGCTTGATCTCCTCTTTCTCCTCTTCTTCTCCTCTTCTTTTCTTCTTCTTCTCCTCTTCACTCCCAAGCCCTAGCTCTCACTCTTTAAAATGGGACCAAATGATCCAAAAATCAGCCTAACACAACAATATAACCCCAAAAGAAATGGCTAGGGAAAAGACCAAAATGCCCTAAAAATTTCCGGACGGATTCCCTGCCAACTGCCCAACTTTCAAAGGGCATAACTCGCCCATACGAACTCGGAATCGAGCAACATCGGTGGCGTTAGAAAGATCATTCCAAGGGCTTTCCAAACATAACTGGAACTACTCCTAAATCATCCCGAACTAGGAGTTATGACTTCTCAAAGTCGGCCAAAAACTCACTGATTTCTACACAACCAATTTTCCAGATTTTTGAATTCCTTCCAAAAATGACTATTTCTGATTTTTAAGCCTCTTCATAGTTATTTCAACTTACCGGATGTTACATTAAGGGATTTTTGAAATTTTAAAAAAAGGTAGGGATAAATGGATATTAAGGTAAGTAAATGTGTGTTTATAAGTAATTTTTCCTTTAATAATAATTAAGATCTATAATTTAGAATATCGATTATTTCCCATACAATTTTCATTTCCATTTTTTTTTGCTTTATTTATTTTAATGTAGTATATAATCATATGTATTGTAGTGGTGTAGTGTTGTCACGAGCATGATCATTGAAGTATTTTTGTTCAATTGTCAGATATCATTTTCATATATTTTGAACTTGACTATCAAATAGCTAGAAAAGTATCACATTCATGGAACTTTTTTTTTTTGTCTTTTCTTACTCAATACGTGTTGCAATAATTTTAGATGATTATGTAAAATATTGAACAAAATAACTTGGGATACACGTGCAACGTACATGTCCAGAGACTAGTATATATATAAAAGAGAACCCTAGGCCCGCCTACGTGGCGCCACCACAAACCAAGATTCCCTTTTAATTTATTTATTTCCAAAATTAGACTTCACTTCCATGAAAAGTTGTAACTTTTATGAAGAGTTGCAACTTTTATGAAGAGTTGCGACTTTTATGAAAAGTTTTGATTTTTATGAAAAGTTGTAACTTTTATGAAAGGTTGTGACCTTTCTGATAAGGTACAATAAGCACTTATTAACACTACCCTTCGTTGTCTATAAATAGAGGGATTTCCCCTCATTTTAAAACAACGAAAATTTTGAACTACTTCTTCTTCTTCTTCTGCACAATTAAATATTCGTGTACTTTGATGCTGTTGAGTTGCTCAATGAAACCATTATTTTTGTATAAATATACTGGTGAATAGAATCATTCTATACTGACCGGATCTATTCTTTTAACCCTTGGGTACTAGAGGGGAATAATTTCCTTAAGGGGACAATGTGCATTCAGTGGACTCGATTTTTTCCCTTTTGTTTCATTTGATTGTTATAGATCCTGGTATGTTTTTTACAGTCACTAATTTATGCTTATGTTATCAATTGTTTTTTTTTAGTACATGTTTTAAACTTTGTTGTTTATGTTTATGCTTTTGATCATTATGTAGCTATATTAATCAAGAGTTTGACGTAATCATTAGACTATTGGTGTCATGTAGATTAGAATTCTTAAACTTGTAAAATAAATGACTTTGATCTTTATAGAGTTTTCAGTGGTTAAAAGATCCTTGGGATGTCCAAGAAGGGACTTTTGAGTGTTCAAAAGTTATGGTGGTTCCACACTACCTTGGAGTTTTAGTTATTTCAACTTTCTATCTTATCGAGGCATTCAATCGATTAGTGACATAAAAAATATAATGGAATGTAGGATTGTAAGTATTGTACTCAACCTTAATCAAAAGTTTGGGGTTACAAATGTTGGATTGGAGTCAATTAATTACCCCTCAAAGTAGGATGAATCCATATTAATCAAATATTAAAGAAATAATTAATTATCTCCTTGTAAACATTAGATTAAAAGTCGCAAAAAATAAAGTTTTAACCATATTGATTGAAACATAAACAACAAAATATGCCTTGTGGCTATCAAAGTAGTGTCATCGAGTGCGAATGATTTTGAATAAGGGACTTGCCAAGACATCATTTAATCCAAATTATTTGAGCGACATACGTTATTCCATTGAACTCCAAGAGATGTGTTTTTAAATTTTAATTAACTTATCAAGTGAACAACTAATTATATAAGATGTATAATAAGATGTATAATATTTAGATTATGTATGTAGAGGTCTTTGAATAGGAGAAAACTGTCGCAATTGATGAATAAAATGTTTGTACCACCTTTTGAAAATACAAATATAAACAATTAAACAATTACATATCTTTTCTAAAGACTTTGGTGATGAATAACTAAAGTCAAATGATGAATTAATAATAAAATGCATAAACACTTGGAATAAAAAATATTCTTGACAATTTATCATAGGGTTGTACCCACTCAAAAATACTCATATTATCAAATTTTCAGAAGTAGATTATTGACGTAGTTCACGCGCGAAAAATTTACCTAGTTTATAAATATAATAAAGAAAAATTTCGAGAAAGCAGTGTGGACTGACACCCCTTGGTATAAGGTGGGTCCACCCTTGACCAATAGCGGAATTAGGATTTTCAATAACGGGGTTCAAAATTTGAAAAAAAAATAGACACATGAAATAGTACATCTACTATATATACCTAAAAAGTTATTTTAATCATGTATATATTATATAATTTTCCGCCGAATAGGGTTTGGACGAACCCCTAGTAAGGTGGCTCCGCCACTGCCCCTGACAATCACATCTTGCAAATGGCTAGTGTTAAAACAAAAAATAGTTTTATGACTTTAATGTAATAGTAGTAGGTAAAGTTTAGTGACCTTAACCCTCGTAATGTCATTTTTGTTCATTTATTTATTTCTGATTTGTATATGATATATATCTGTTTGAAGTTCATAAAACGAATTGACATTGACTCAAGGTGGAAGAAGCAAACATTACACCTATCTTGTGTATAGGCATAACTAATATGATTAAATATTTTTTCTTGTTACATTCGAGAAGAAGGGGATATGTAATTTACATATTATAACAATTGTAATTTTGAGTTTTTTTATTTTTTATTTTTAAAACACTTACTAGGACACTTAGAGGTGAATGGTGAGTTGCTCATCTCAATTCTCACAGATACGACAGCGTTACACTTTGTTCCAGGTAGCTCCCAACTAAAGTTATCCAGTTTTCATATTCATAACCTCTAAAAATTAATTTAAAACTTTAAGATATCTTTTGACATTTTCTCATTTTTATCTATATAAATTCGTTTTTTTTGGTTTCATGAGACTCTAATCCAAATTTATTCATTTCTTTCTATAGTTAAAGTAGTAGTGTTTATATCATTTTGTACTATTTGATTTATGTTTTAGTTTGACTCGATGAGAAGACTCTTTAATTTTAATTGATTATGGGAGAAGGTGTTGACAAGAACTCAGAAAATTATGTAGTAATTCTATATTTCTTTTTCCATCAACATTGTTATGATTAAAGTTTTAAGAAGCATGTGTATATTGTATTTTTTTTTCTTGTATATATTTTTTGTATGCTTTCTCTCCCTATTAGACTTCTTTAATTTAATTTTCTACGAATTTCTATAATTTTATCAGGCTCAAATGAGTTATTTGTGACTTTATTGTAAGTTTGCTACTACTAACCAACGTTTAGATTTACCGTTGGTTGCCTATTAAGGAATGACTTTTAAACGTTAAAATATATCCCTCATTTGATGTTTCTTGTCAGACTTTTAAAGATTTATTTGTGATTGTTACATTTTACTACTCATTACAAGCATGTTATCGTAGAATTCTAATTGTTCTAACCACATACCCAGAAACTAATATTATCTATACTATTCTAGCTATGTTTATATAAAATTAAAAGGCCTTTATATCCTTTAATTTACCATTATCCCTATAATATTTTGTGCTAAAAAGTAATTTTACATTTAAATAAATACTAATCCATTAGTTACTTTTTATAAAAATAACCAAAAAGTAAAAGTTTAATAAAGGCAATAAAGTGTGAAATATATCCGTTCAAATGGCCCCAAATGTATTCAAGTGACTAGCTTTTAATAAGCCAATGATCATATTTTATTTTATTTATTTATTATATTAAAAGTGGGAAGATCGTAAGTCTAAAATTGGATTACGAAAATCCCCTTCAAGTTTCTTAATTAAATAAAAAAATAACAGCTATGTTGACCAAATACATTGTTAAAGGCTAGAATTTATCATTTTCCACTAGTTCAAGTTTCATCCTCTTGTTTTACTCACTTAATTTTTTATTTGTTGGTTCCTTCTTTTTTAATTAATATATATATATTGTTTTGTTTAGATCTTCTCATTTTGTATCATATGATGGCAGGTATATCTACCGCTTTCTATGTGGATTGACTAGATGTTACAAAGGTATTTTCTATAATTTTCATTCTTTATTTTAAAAATTTCTTACCATAATCTCTTTTAAGTTAGAGTTTTTGATAAATCAATAAAATATCTATTGTTGGATGGAAATTCTTTTTTATATTTCATTCATTCATGTATATATAAATGATTATTGTTTTGACTTTCATCGATTACTAGCTAGCAATCTTAAATTTACTAATTGGATAGTAATGAAGAACATGCCAATTTTATTTCAAAACTCTACAACAGCAAAGTGGTATCAAATTTTTTGAATATATTTCAGTTGTATGGAATAGTTACATCGGATCGATCATAGAGGCGTCAAAAATGATTGTATTTGTGTCCATAGTGAAGCGGATAATCTGGAAATCCATAGAGTGGATTGGGTACATATATTTAGGAGTTCATTCTAACATTTTCTCTTACAATGAGAGTTTTCTGATTTATCTCTAAAATCTTGTATAAAATGGTATGATAGACAAGAAGGTCCTAAAACATTTATAAGTGTTATTATACATTGAGATGGGTCCATACTAATAAACCTGTAGACGAGTGAGTAACAATTTTCCTATCAAATCAGATAAAAAAAATCATTTCCTATTACTTTTCGTTTGAGTTTTGTTATTTTTATAGTTGTTTCTTTTATTTTTAATTGAATTGATTGTCAAATCCAGATAATATCTTGGCATATTAAGAGTCTAAGCAATTTTGGGATATGTTATTCATATTTTTCTTATTTCTTGATTTGTTATTGTATAAAATGATTTTTTTTTGTTATTTTTTACGCTATGCTACAATTCTTTATTTAATCATAATAGCCGTAGTTTTTATTTCTAAAAGAGGAAATAATTGTGATCTCTCATTATTTTTCCTGTGGTATATTTTGGAGTAAGCTTTTTAAACTTTCAGTGTATTTGTTCACTCTTTCCTGGTTTATTGCACGGCGAAATATCTTTCTCTTAATGAGTAAGAAAGAAATGTCATCAGCATGTTAGTAAGAACCCTTATTAATTAATTAATTTGAAATAAATTTGAAGTTTGTCCTTTTATAATATGTGCAGACCAAAATTCATATATATTTTCATCAAATTTGTTGATTGATAGATAAATATTCATTAAGAATAAGAAGTATTCTCAAAGTGGAATGTCACACATGAATTCGAACTATATAAAGGCATTTAAAAGGTTGAAGTTTAACTCAAATCTCTTTTTCTGCTCCTTTGTGTGCTCTCACATCTTATATGCATACACCATAGAGGTTGGAATTGGAATAGTTGTGAAGAAACAACATAACTATCCCACTATTTTCTTCTTACGAGAGTATAAAAGGACTAGTAAATCATTAAAACTAGTGCGCCTGCATATGTTGTAGACCGATCGAAAGCAAAAAAATAAAAAATGCAGCAACTTGAATTCTTGATATTTACTCAAGGCCAAAGAAGCAGAAGATTAAATAATTACCTCTTACAATATACATATTAATAGAGTAAACCAAATGACCACCACTAGTCCAAGCAATTGAAACAGTACTTACTTCACAACCACTCAGCGACAAAGGTTATTCATCTCCATATATGTTAGGGATTATATAGCTTGCCTTATATGGGGGTTTTCTGATGAATAGGTGGGCGTGCATCCATTGATGATAACTTATGAGAGATGAAGGGCATTGTTGGCCTTGATTTTGGAGTTTCAAGCAAACAAGAGCATGCTAGATTGATGATAAAAACCAAAACATCTTTTACTCTATCATCAGGATATGGAAGGCGTTCATCCAGCAAATCGCTAAGCTGCTCAGGATCTATAGTCGATGAATTTGCTAGCACAGTAATGTATTCCCCAAGATGCTTTCCTTTGACTATCTCCAATGATAATACTCCAAAGCTATACACATCACACATTTGCGTAACCTTCATTGTATATGCAAGCTCTGAACAACACAATTTCCAGAACAATATTAAGAATTTAAACATGTAAATGAGATAAAAACAAGTGTTTGGATATAACCATATGTGCCTGCAAACACACTGCAATTGGATGAGTCCGGCTTGAGAATCTTTGCTATTCCAAAGTCTGCAATACGAGCTTCATACTCAGAATCAAGCAACACATTACTGTTTGATATGTCTCGATGAACAATCGGTGGTGAACAGTCTCTGTGCATGTAAGATAAAGCAAAAGCAACACCCTTGATGATATTCACCCTTTTAAGCCAATCCAATTTCTTGGACTCAACTTCATTGCTCAAAATACTAGACAAACTCCCCCTCTCCACATACTCGTAAACCAAGAACGAGTGTTGTGCTTTCGAACAATAGCCGTAGAGGTTCACAATGTT